CATTGTGCCCAACTACCTTAATACACTTGGCTAATGAATATCTATCAGCCTTGGTTTTCAAATGTTCAAGTGACCCCAGCCTCAACACCCTAGGAGGGAGAAAATTCTAAGTTTCCATAACTGTTTGTACAAAGAAGTGTTTTCCACCAACAGGCTGCATTTTCACCATCACGTTGAACAGTTTGAGTCGAGAAAGAGCTGAGCCTGCTGCCCCCTGGATACAGATCGAAGGTGGAGCCAGGGGATGCCAAGAACTGTTTCAAGGCTCACTTTGGTTTTCTTGGATGGATATTGTACCACTTGTTCAGTGAAATGTTGGGCACTCTATCCCTCAAATCGTCTCACGCTCTCATCCACTTACCATGGCCCAGCCACACTAACCTATGATGCTCTTTTCACCCACACACCCAAATGGCCCCTCATACCTTGCAGGCTGACTCATAGCATTTCCACGCCCACTTACCCAGTGAATACTCTGTATAAAATCTATGAATTCTATAGTAACAATGATGTGCCCAGAAATGCCTGAAATTCACCTTTCATAATTTTCTGTAAATGACATTTTTTTATTCATTTCATGGAATGCGGCCATACTTTCCCTCAAGAAGGTGGTGCTGTATTGATAGATCCACAATGATTTAGAGAATGGGATCAAGGATTTTAAACAGCAACATTGAAGGAATGATGATATATTTCTAAGACAGGATAGTGAGTGCTTGGAGGTGAACTAGCAGGTAATGGTCTTCCCATGTATCTTCTGTACTTATAATGTTCTGAGGAAGGATCACTGGACCCAAAACGTTAACTCTGATTTTTTCTTCACAGATGTTGAGCTGCTGAGCTTTTTCAGCAACTTCTGTTTTTGTTCTTGATTTACAGCATCCGCAGTTCTTTCAGTTTTTATCTTCTGTACTTATTCTTCGAGATGGTCTTTGGTTTGGAAATTGCTGTGTAATAAGCCTTGGTGAATTTCTGTAATGCATTCTATAATCAAGGTCTAGTAGCTATCTGGACCTCCAGGAGGCATTTGATAAAGTGCTGCGCAAAGGCAAAATATGAGGTAAGATCACACAGGGTTTGGGATAATATATTAGCTTGGATTGAGGATTGGCTAAGCAACAGAAAGCAGAGAATCAGGATATATGAGTCTTTCTTGGTTGGCAAGATATAACGAATTGGGTACCACAGCATTTGGTCCTCAATCCCCAAGTATTTACAATCCGTAATAATGACTTGAATGTGGGGATTGAAGGTACCATGTCCAAATTTGCAGATGGCACTAAAAAAGGTGGGAAAGTATTTTGCAATGAAGAAATAAGGAATTTACAAAAGAATGTTGGATTGATGAGGTAAATGGGACAAAATTTGGCAGGTGGATAAGTTTGAGGTTATCCACTTTGGTTGGAAAAATTAAAAGGCAACTTATTATCTAAATGGAGTGAAACTTCAGAGTGTTTCAATGCAGAGGTATCTGGGTATGCTCACTGGTTGACAGATACAGGAGGGCAAATGGAATTTTGGTGTTTATCACTAAAGGAGAGGAGCATAAAATCAAGGAACTGTGGTTGCAACTGTAAAAAGCATTAGTGAGGCTGTATCTGGATTTTTGCACACAGTTTTGGCCTCTTTACTTGAGGAAGGATGTAATTGCATTGGAGGTAGTTCAGTGAAGGTTCATTAGATTAATTCCAGACCTTAAAGTTACATCTTATGAAGAGAGATTGCAAAGCTTAGATCTATATTTAGAAGGTTGAGAGGAATATATCTAAGGTATATAAGATGCTAAAGGGGATTGACAAAGCAGATGTAGACTGGATATTTCTTCTTAAAATGAGGGATCATTCTGTTAGGTTAAGGGGTGGCATATTTAAAATAGAGGAAGAATTACTTCTCAAAAAGGGATGTGAATCTATGGAATTCACTCCCCCACAGGGCAGTAGATTCTGAACATAGAGTACATTTAAGAAGGAGATAGACAGACTTTTAAGTAGTAATGGGTTAAATGGTAATGGGGAGCAGGCAGGAAAGTGGAATTGAGGCTGAGACAAAACTGGCCATGATCATATTAAATAGAAGAGCAGGCCTGAGGAACCGAATTGCCCAATCCTGCTCCTAGTTCAAATGTTTTCATCTTCTTATAGATGGTATGCATTGCTGCTACTCAGCACCGGTGGTGGAAGGGGTTAGCATTTGTAGATATGATGCCAGTCCAGCAGGTTGCTTTGTCCTGCATAGTGTCAAGCTTCTTGAATATTGTTGGAGATACGCCCATCCAGGAAAATGAGGAATATTCCATTACACTCCTGAGTAGTGCATCTACTACTATGCACTAGTAGATGGTGGACAGGATTTAGGGAATCAGAAGGTGAGTTACTTCTGCAGAATTCCTAGCCTCTTGCATATTCTTGTATTCACAGTATTTATATGGCTAGTTCTGTTCAATTTTTTGTAAATAGTAACACTCAGGAAGTCGATTGTAGAGGATTCCGTGAAGACAATGATATTGAATGTTAAGGGTGATGGCTAGATTCTTGCTAGTTGGAGACGGTCAGTGCCTGGAACTTTTGTGGTATGAGCATTACTTGCCATTTCTCAGCCCAAACCTGGATATTCTCCAAGTCTTTCTGCATTTTGGCATGGACTGCTTCAGTGTCTGAGGAGTCTTGAAAAGTGCAGAACATTGTGCAATCAGTGAACATTCCTTCGTCTGACCTTATGATGGAGAGGCGGTCATTGATGAAACAACTGAACATCGATAAGCTTAGGACAGTACCCTGAGGAACTGGGCTCTTGTGGCACAGTGATAGCATCCTTGCCTCTGGGCTAGAAGGTTCAAGTGAGATTAAATCTACTGTTCCAGAGATGAATGCTAATATTGAGGGTGGCTCAGTGGTTAGCACTGCTGCCTCACAGTGCCAGGGACCTGGGTTCAATTCCACCCTTGAACGACTGTCTGTGTGGAGTTTGCACATTCTTCCCGTGTCTGCATGGGTTTCCTCCCACAGTCCAAAGATGTGCAGGCTAAGTGGATTGGCCATGCTAAATTTCCCATAGTGTTCAGGGATGTATAGCTTAGGTGGGTTATAGAGGGATGGGTTTGGGTGGGTGCTCCGAGGGTCAGTGTGGACTTGTTGAGCTGAGGGGCCTGTTTCCACACTGTAGGGATTCTATGATTCTATTCTATGTCTGAATGGGTTAATTGAAATTCTACTCTGAGGAACTCCTGCAGGGATGTCCTGGAGCTGAGATGACTGACCTTCAACAACCATGGCCACCTTCCTTGGGGTAAAATATGACTCCAATCAGTGTACTATTTTCTCCCAGATTCCCATAGACTCCAGTTTTGCTAGGGATCCTTGATTCCACACTTGGTCAAATGTGACCTTGATGTCAAGGACTTTCACTCTTATCTCACCTCTGGAGTTCAGCTCTTTCAGTCATGTTTGGTGCAAAGTTATCATAAAGTCAAGAATTGAGCGGCCCTGGCAGGAGATATTGTGTACAGGGCATATCCGGTCAATTTTTCACATGTTGGATGGGTGCCAGTGTTGCAGCTGTACTGGAACAGTTTGGCTATAGGTGCAACAAGTTCTAGAGCACAAGTCTTCAGTACTGTTGCTGGAATGTTGTCAGGTCCCTTGGCCATTGCAGTGTCCAGTGCCTCCTGACATCCCTTGGTATCATGCGGTGTTAATTGACATGGCTGAAGACTGGCATTTGTGAAGCTGGGGACTTCCGGAGGAGACTGAGATGGATTATCCATTCTTCACTACTGCTTTAAGATTTTTTCAAAATTCTTCAGCTTTTTCTTTTGCATTGATGTGCTTGGCTCCCTCATGACTGAGGATGAGGATATTTCTGGAGCCATTTCCACCAATGAGTCTTAGTTGTCCACCACCATTCACAACTGGATCTAACAGGACTGCAGAGCTTAGATCCAATCTGTTGGTTGTGGAATGTCTTAGCTCTGTCTGTCTTTTGCTGTTTATGTACTTTGGCATGAAAATAGTCCTGTTTTGTAGATGCACCAGGTTGACACCTCATTTTTAGGTATGCCTGGTTCTTCCCTTGGCATGCCCTCCCACACTTTTCACTGAATCTTTAACTGAAATAACCCTTTAAAAATATAAAGCAACTAGGTTTTTAAAATAGCATCAATGGAAAAAAATAGGCGGCAGGTTTAGATAGAGGATCCGGATCGGTGCAGGCTTGGAGGGCCGAAGGACCTGTTCCTGTGCTGTAACTTTCTTTGTTCTTTGTTCATTGAAACTACAATACGTGACATTTCTTTATCTTGTGTAAATAAATATTAAGCCAGTGACGAAATAGATAACACAAAAAAAAGTTTGACCTGTTAATCAAGTGATGTTTTCAGTTCTGAGCACCTGTTTCAACAAAATAAAAACTTTTCGAGAAGTCTAAGCTCAGAGCCAAGCCTCATTGTGCATATTTACTTTCCCAAGCTGAGATCAATTTGTGGTAGGCTTGTGGTTAGGGATCCAATAGAAGATGGAAAGAGGTGTAGGAGATTTAGTCTCAGACTTTGAAAGCTGAAGGCTTGTCTGGCAAACATCAGCATTGCCAAATTTGGAAGCATTTTAAGTTGACTGAATTAGGTTCTACACTGAAAAAAAAAGGCACCTTGCAAGATTTGGGGAGGGGTACAGTGAAGTGATTGAGACACAACAACTTTGCTCTGTATATGTTTATATTTTGCACAAATGCCCTCCAAATCCTGTCTCGCTATCCCTCTGTACTTTCTTCCCTTGTCAACGTGTATAGCCTACCCGTAACTTCATTAATACTATCTGCTGCAGTCACTCAGTGTGAACAGTGATTTCCACATCACCCCTTCTTCAGAATTCGTTTTTGAGCTGTTAGTGGCGATTGTATTTTGTTTGTGTGGTTCTGTCACAATCATTTATGACAAGATTATCAAAGTGATTTGCTTCTTGACAAAAATGGCAATGTTTTGTTGACGATGTTCCTGTCTGTTCCAGGTCCTGCAGCAAAGTGCATGGTAACACCAATGAAAATGCACCAGTCGGTGTTACTGCTGGCCGTGCTTGGCCTAGTCCTCTCATACTCTGTGACTGAAACAAAGGAGGGTAAGGAGTCACTGAAATGAAAATCATTCTTGAGTCACTACCTGGTGTTCATTGGTGATGACATAAATGAAATCTGTGGGGAACGATTTGGGAGTTTATTACCAACTGTTAATGATTAAAAGATTCACTCAAATTAAGCAGAAGCAAGAATGTAAATCATGGCTGTCAGTCCACCAATGCTTATACATTGGTGATTAAAGTTCTTCAGTCAAAGGTTGTTCTTTTTGAAACTAAAGACGGAACCGAGTTGTGTTGTACACAGATAGTGTATCTATTGGTTGATTCACTTTCCTCAATCACAAGGATCTGTATTTTCAGTCTCACTCCACGTTTGGGCTCAAAATTCAGGACTGGTGCTCCAGTGTAGTGCTGAGGGAGGTCTGGACATGCTACCTTTCAAATATTAAACTGTCTGGTGAGCTGTGGCAAAACTGAATTGTCCAATTCACAGTCTCTGCTCTAACTCTGTGTTCATCTTTCTCCTCTGTTTAACTGTACTATACACAGATCCAGCTCCTTGTGACCGTGCCTTCTCTATTCTCCCCTCTGTTACAGCTCTTCTTTATGCTTTACAGTAGCAGATTCTGGTCACATGGCTATTTAGTATCTTAACTTCCTTCCTGTTGGGGCTCCCTCCAGTTCAAAGGGTACCTGGTCACATACACAAGTATTTATTATTAATTGAGAAATTTAGAGTGACGTTGACGTGTTACGGCAAGGAAAAAAGACATTTGGCCCATCATACCTGCTGCGGCATGTTAAATGAGCATCATTACCTAATGCCAATCTCTGGCATTTCCCCCATGCCATTGTACCTTATATTTTTCCGAACAACCATCCAACGCAGTCTTGAATACCTCAGTTGAACCTGCCTCCACTATATTTCCAGGTAACGCATTCCATACCCTGACCACTCACTGATTGAAAAAAGTTTTCCTCACCCTATCCTTGCTTCTTTTTCAGATCACTTTAAATCCATTACCTTTTTGTTCTTGCTCTTTTCACAAGCAGGAGCAGTTTTAGCCTGTCCACTCTATTCAGCCTGCTCATGAGTTTGAACGCCTCTATCAGATCTATTCTTTGCTTTCTTCTCTCTAAGTAGAATGGTCATGTGTTATTCAATCTGTGCTCAAAACTGAAGTTCCTCACTCTTGGAACCATTCTTGTAAATCACTTCTTCACTCTCTCCAATACATTTAGGTACTTAAAGTAGCACCCAGAACCAGTTGCAGCTTTCATACCCCAGCTGGGTTTTACAAATCTCTTAGACAAGTTCAACATCACCTCCTTACTCCTATATTCTATGCCCTTGTAATAAAGCCAAAGGATACCTTATATTTTAATTGTTGGTCTCTTGACATATCCCGCCACATATGCAAAAATATACTATGTCCCTCTGCTCCTGAACCCCCTTTGGAATTGTACTCCCAATTTTATATTATCTTTCAATGTTCTTTCAACCAAAATGGATCATGTCACCTTCTCTGCATTGAAATTCACCGGTCACCTATCTGCCTACTCCACCAACTTGACTATGTTCTTCTGGAGTTTCATACTGTCCTTTTCTCAGTTTATAATTCTTCTATGTTTTGTTCCATCTGCAAACTTTGAAATTGCACCCTGCACACCGAGATTTAGATCATCAGTATATATCAGGAAAAGCAAGGCCCCTAATACTGGCCCCTGGGGAGCTCCACTACAAATCTTCCCTCTAGGCCAAAAAGTATCCATTGACTATTACTGTCTATTTCCTATCACTCAGCCAGTTTAGTATCCACATTGCTACTGACCTTTTTATTCCATGACCTATAACTTTCCTCACAGTGAAAGCACCTCGGGGCTAACTTCCCTGCCTCACTGGATGTGAAAAACACGAGTTTATAAATGCATTTTATTTTACAAGCTGTTGTATTCATTATTACAAAAAGAGCTTTAATAATGAGTGATACCTTTACAATTGTGAAAACTCTTACAAGTTCTTTACAAACAATCTTGTCCATAATAACTGATTCACTGCAACTAACAAAGTTACAACCTTCCCATACTGTTTCTTTGTCCGAAGTAAACACGTCTAATGAATCCGAAGATAACAAAGTGTGGAGCTGGAGGAACACTGCAGGCCAGGCAGCATTAGAGGAACAGGAAGGCTGATGTTTCGGGTTGGGATCCTTCTTCTTCTTCAGAAGACCCTTTTGACTCACATGCTGCAATTCCTCAAGAATGCAGAGGTCTCAAAGGGGACAGGAGGACCCAAATTACTTACTTTCAAGATAGAGAGAGTTCTTACTGAGCTGTGGATTGGCACAGTGAAGCCCAGCACAAACCCTTGTCTCTGTCTCTCCAATCTTGATAATAATGATTGTGCTGTGTCTGACCCTGGGTCTGTATCTCCATCCATCACATGGTTACCTTGGGGTCAGCAGTAACTGAGGTCCCACACTCACATTATTAGATAAATCTGGTGAATGAAAAGAGGCAAAAAGCCAAGTGCTGAGGGTGAGATGTGTGCATGGAAAGATCTGGCATCAGGAGTATAGTGGTGGTCTCACCATCTAACATTTTATTATTTTCTGCAGCTTTATCGAAGCAATATAGCATAAAAAAAGCAATGGATGTTTGACCTGTAGAAAAGTGGATTCCAAAACCAAAGCTGATGGCTGTGTGGAAGATCTGCAGCAGCACAGTCAGAGGATTGTGTGTAAAGGAGTTGGACAAGAGCATCCTCCTCAGCATTTTTACCTCCTGAAGTGTGCATGGCAGTCAATATTCCTGCTGATGAAACCATGCTATTGCTACATCCCATTTTGGTTACACAGATTAGCTAACATGTTCATTGTGGTTACAATTGGTTAGATTTTCCAGTGAGAGCTTGCTCTGGGGAAGACGGCATAAACTTTCTGGCTTGCAGCAGCTCGAAGGGCCAGGCCATCAAAGTGAAGTAAGAAATCTGAAGGAGAGACTTCCCCATAGTGATTCTTTTTGTTCAGATAGGGAAGTGATAGAGTGGTCATGTGGACCTGAAGTAAAGAGACCAAACAATAATAAGAAACATCCTTGGCAGTCAGAGTCATTGCCTGCACATGAATTCAATACATGCAAATGCACAATAGTAATTTCTTTTAACATCCTTCATTCTACCACCATTGAAGATGTATCAATGAGGCACCTCGAGACCTTGCTTTTTCTGTAAGTATTCCCATATTGAGAGCCAAAAATGAATGGAAGCGGTAAAAAGTCTCATTCCTATTAAGGAATGTTCATGGTCATCTGTGCTGTCTTCACACTTTTTGGAACTTTGTATTTCTTAAGGAAGAAAGAAGCCCATAACTAATAATAGAGAATGCTACAGGTAATGGTAAGTTTTCCTGACCTCATGCTCCTTAAGTAAACTATGGAAATCCTCCAAAGACAGATAGAAGGAACATTGCAGTCACTTCATCAACCTTTTCTGTTATTTAATGAAAAAAAAAATCAATTAGTCAGCCTCAGACGCTTCAGGGAAAATAACCCCAACCTACTCAGTCTCTCCCTACAGCTCAAACTCTCCAACCCTGGCAACGTTTTTGTAAATCTTTTCTGAACCCTTTCAAATTTCACAACATCGTTCCTACAGCAGGGAGACCAGAATTGAATGCAGCATTCTAAAAGTGGCCTAACCAATGTCCTGTATAGCTGCAACATGAGGCTTTGGACTGAATGTGTCTTTATGGAGGTTTATACAATTATGAGGGGCATGGATAGGGTGAATAGTTAAGGTCTTTTCCCCAGGGGATGGGAGTCCAAAACTACAGGTTTCAGGTGCGAAGGCAGGTTTTAAAAGGGATCTAAGGGGCAATTTTTTCATATTGATTGTGGTGCCTGTATGCATGAGCTGTCACAGGAGGTGCTGGAGGCCAGTACAAGTACAACATTTAAAAAGCATCTGGATGGGTACATGAATAGGAAGGGTTTTGAGGGATATGGGCCAAATGCTGGCAAATGGGACAAGATTTATTCAGAATAAGTGGTTGGCATGGGCCAGTTGGACCGAAGGGTCTATTTCCGTGCTGTACATCTCCATGACTTTATGACTCTAGTCAAGCACAATCTGACTGTTACAAATCCCAGCTGGCTCATTGTAATTAACTCTAACCTCTCTAAGTGCATATTGATTTTTATGCTAATATTTGTTTCTAAAACCTTACCTGCCCTTGATGTGAAGCTGGCTGTTCTGTGGTTAATAGCAATGCTCTTATTATCTATTCTTGAATAATGGTACCACATTTGTCACTCTCCAATACTCTAGTACTTCCCTATACCTGATTGGGTGAATGGAAAGTTTACATGTAGGAAAAATTTATTTGACATTCATCATACATCATCATATACTTTGTCTCCATAGTCAATCAAGGAGCCTTGGCTATGTCCCCCTTACTTTTGCTGTTGTTAAAATGTCCCCAGTCTGTAAATGAAATATCTGCTCCTTAAAAATCACCCTTGCACTGTTACAGATTTTCAAATCAGTCATTTTTTTTCCATTCTGTCCCAACTAGAATTCCTCTCCTCCCATTCAAGGTAGTCTTCTTCCAGTTCAAAATGCTTCTTTAGATTTCTATTTGCAATTCTTAATCACAATTATACAACATTTCCTTGAGGGTATTCCCTGCCTGATTAATGCTCTCTAACTCCAAAGCTGAGAAAGTATATATATTTTTAAGAGTTCCAATCTGACTGAAGACATTTGAGGCTAATCCACATCAAATAAACTGCTCAGAAAACTCTGCTCACATTTTGACAGCTGTGAAAAATTGCACCAGAACACTTGTGACAATCCATAATATTCTAAAATGATCAATAACCTTCTGACCCAAACATGCTGCAATGTATTAAAAAGAATGAATCTATCTGTCTTATTTCTCAATGTTAATGAAACCTATAAAAACATTCTAGAACCCTGATTGAATCTGTATCATTACCAATAAGTAAATAGTTTTTCCTTTGGTTATGCCCTATTTTTGTACCAGTTTTTGTTGCACCAATCCTTTAGATTTTGATATATATTGTTTGTGAAGAAACAGATTAACAGTGGTGAAAACATTATCACCAGCCACGTTCAATAGTGGAGGTACATTGTGTACAGTGTCATGAAAACGTTCAGACTCATTTCACATTGTAGCTGAGAAACATAGTTAAAAGTGTAATCAGGACTCTGAAATGAAAGGATTACACTGCTTATCATCCTAGCCCCTGTTTTCCGCACTATATCCTCTGTATTAGTATGAATTCCACAGGGAATAGTTCAGTTTGCATATGCTATTTCTCAGAAATCACTTTCAAATTCATCATAATTATCAGAGAATTGTGACCAAAGCTTTCCATTTTGACAAGCCAACACTGCTAATCCTACTTTCAATGTCTAAAGCCTAATGGCATTTAGACCTGTCAGAACATCTCAAGTAACTGAATGCCGCATTTTCATGAGTGATAACAGATGTTTGAAGCAGCGTGTCACAGTCAACTGGAAATACTATGCATTCTGTTACTTCTTTCTGGCCACACCCTGATTTTATTTTTAAATGAATATATGTTTGCATTAAATGAATTGAAAACATAGTTTGAAAAAGTCAGTTCAGTGGGATCAAAACAATAGTGTTCAGTTGTGACAACAGTGATGGAGTTTTGGCTATTGACACTCGTTATCTGCAGAACACACGAAGAACAAGAAAGCAGATGATCCCTTCACTTCTAGCAAAGTGTCCAAGTTAGGTTAATAGCTCAGTAGAAATGGGGGAAGAGGTTCCAAGTAGTCACTCGGAAATTCTGCCAATTTCGTAACATTACAGACTATCTGATGTGTACTAAGTGGATTAAGTGCTTCAATAAGTTATAGAATTAAGGAAGCCATTTGGCCATTGTGTCTGCTCTTGTCCCTGATTGAACAACTCACCTAGTACCATTCCCTTGTATTCTACCTTCAACCCTACACATTCTCCCTTTTTAAGTAAGAGTCTAATTGCCTTTTGAATGCCTCAGTTGAATACCTCTACCACACACTCAGGCAGTGATTTCCAGATCCTAAATACTCACTATGTGTGTTTTCCTTTGTGTCACTTTTGTTTATTTTGCCAATTATGTTAAATCTGTGCCCTTCCATTCTCAATCCTTTCACTTGGATGTTCTTTCACAATATCTATTTATTTACGTTATCTTATATCTAGATACTGGAAGTTTTAACTGTACGTTGCCAATGATTGCTAACTCTATGTTACTAATGTGAATCATGATGGCATGCTTATGTCATAACTTTGAACTGTAAAATCTTGACCCTGGTGGTTTCTGACCTGGAAGTGGGTGGATTGCTGACTCTTGATTTATCTATTCTGTCCAGATCTCTTATGATTTTGGAAACTTCTTTCAGATTGCCTCCCAACCTTCACTTCTCCAAGATAAACAGTTAGAACTTCTCAAAACTATCTTAACTTGGAAGTCATTGTCTACAAGGTGGCAAAAGTAGTGGGCGTTAGATGGCCAATACAACCAATAATTGTGCTATAATTATTTTGTGACTATGACAATAATTCCAGCATGCAGGATTTCCCTAGGTGACACCAGAATGAATGAGGTGGCTAATGATTATGGAAACTGACTGGGTAGGGAAGTGGGTGGGGATAGTCTTCAGTGCTGTGCCACTGGGTCTAAAGTTTAAAAAGAAAGACATTTTTGTTAGTTCCCTTTGACAGATCCTTTTGACATATCTGACAATTGATTTTGATATGTTTGTTGACTGTCCAATGAGCTAGTGAAATTATGTACACTTTATGCGCATTCCTGCCTATTTTTAACAATTCCAATGGGCAACTTACCTCTCCAAAGGTATCCCAGGACCTTATTTCTTCAAAAGAGTACCCTGGCTATCCGAATGTAGGGAGATCACTTTGCTATTCACAAAGTTGAAACCGACTCTTACCCGGTCTAATCTGCACACTTTACATTATGCACTTTTGTTCACCCAAATCGATTAGAGGCAGTTGTTGATTTCTGTGGGTGGCTGCACCTGCAATATACACGTGTGTGAATAACAATCCAGTGCCATTTACATCACCGCATAGACAATAGATCCCAGGTTTGGGGCACCAACTTCTAATTTCAGGGCTCATTTTTCATTTTCAAAACCCCAGAGCTGTGAAATGATTGTGAAAATCCAGACCTAGCACAGTAGGCTCAAGGGACCGAACAGCCTCCTCCAAGTTCTTATTTCTTATGGTTTTATGGTCCACCCTTGCCACTTCTAGAGAAATTTCTGTTATTGCCACCATATCATATTTCGCGTGGTTATTTGTGATTGCAGCGCACCAGTGTTATTCATCGTACACTTTGTCTTTACATGCAGCATTCTAGTCCTGTCTCTGCAGTTTGCAGATCCTTCAATATTTGCTCCTACTTGATATGTTTTTGCTTCCTTCTCTGTACTATAGAATGACTTAATTATCTATGCATCTCCCTCCTCTTTTCTGCTTCTGAATGCTGCTTCACAGACCTATGCCAATGTGGTTTAAACCTTCCTCATGCACACTGGTGAATCTCCCCATATGGACATTGGTCCCAGTTCTTCTGAGATGCAACCTGTAATTTTTAAATAGATGCCTCCTGTCATAGAACTGTCTCTAATTTCCCAAAATCTGAAGCTCTCCAGCATGTATAATGTTTTAATCCACTCATTAGTTCTCCCTAGCATTCCATTTTCAATTCTTGCTAGCGCTGAGGGTACTACAGACATTTCTAACCTTGAAGTACCAAATTTTAACTTTTCTCTAGATTGTTATCTTTACTTGTGCTTATCATCTGGCTTTTTCTGGGATAGGAGTTCATATAGATTGGAGGAAGCTTGGTTATCAATAAGCGTTGCCGTTTATTGAACAATACTTTCCAACTATGTAATACTTACAAAAAGTTTCTAGAGAGAACCATCTCCCAGCGGTTGTGGGGTTAGCTAATTTTGTTTCACTCATGATGCAGACTAACATATTTATACATTAACATCAGACTTTATACAACATCACCCGCCAAGTCTAAGGCTGTATTTAATGCATTATTTACATTATCTTATATCTAGATACTGGAGGTTTTAACTGCATGTTGTCAATGATTGCTAGCTCTATGCTACTAATGTGAACCATGATGGCATGCTTATGTCATAACTTTGAACTCCAAATTTTTGACTCTGGAGGTTTCTGGCCTGGAAGTGGGTTAATTGCTGACTTCTGATCAGCAGTCCATCCACCACTTTAAACATCCATTCTATCCACACAGTAACAGCAGTGTGCATGACTTGCAAGATGCGAATTTTCTCAGTAAAATATGTTGCCTTTCCCTATGCTACCATTGTGATAACGCTGTCAAGGTACATAATTGTACATAATGCAGAAACCCTAAGGATTTAGAATATGTTATATAAATGCACATTATCTTCCTTTATAATGTATTGTTCTGCATTATCTGATTTAATATGTTCATCTTTTACATTTATCTTTCAAGTGCAAGAATCAGCTGACCTAGTTTTCTTAATTGATGGATCAAGGAATTTGGGAAGGGGTGAATTTCAATTCATACGTTCTTTCATCGCAAATTTCATTGAAGATCTCAATATTGGCCCTGATGCCATCCAAGTTGGCATGGTGCAATACAGTAAGACCCCCAGTACCGTGTTCTATTTAAACACATATACTACAAAAACAGAAGTCCTCAAAGCTGTTAAAAACATCCGACAGAAAGGTGGAAACGAAGCCAACACTGGAATGGCCCTTCAGTTTCTGGTTGACAATCATTTTATTCCGTCGGCTGGGAGTAGGGCTGATGAGGAGGTTCCTCAGGTAATGGTCCTCCTGACTTCGAGACAGTCCAGTGACGATGTCAGACGAGGGGTGTTTTCAATAAAAAAGCGTGGCACCTTTACATTTGTTCTTGGGATTACAGACACTGATGCAGCCGAAGCCAAACTGATAGCGACTGACCCTTCATTTTCTATGTTCATTCCTGATCTCCACCAAATGGCTAGCACACAGCAACAGCTAATGTCACTGTTTTCTTTAGTGGCTACCAAACAATTGATTATAAAGGTGGAAGAACCTAAGGTTGAAGGTGCGTAACTTCCAACTTTTGCAAGCACTTTTTTACATTGAATACAACGGTTTTCCCTCATTAAACAGCTTCCGTCATCTCAAAGGCTGACGTGTAATACAATTTTAAACCTAATTTAGCCCTACGTTATTTCACTTTGAAGAGGTGTTGGCTTTGACAATGATAAATTTCTGAGTGATCAGAAAACTTGGCCTTGTCTGTTCAGGACTTTCAGTGTAGCATTGCCAATCAACCAGGTGTAGACATTTGATCTTCAGTGAGTTGCCAAGAAATTTCAAAAGCTCGTTTTTAAAAAATATATATTTCCCCTAGCCCTTACACATTTCCAATAATGTCCACAACTCTGAATTAGAGTTTGTTGTTGAATGGTCCAATTTACAATCTTAATAGTTAGAAATTGGCAACTGTACCCTCACCCACTTGGCACCTGTTGAATCCATCCGTCTGGCACATTTCCCACTGCCCCCTCCCCACAACTCACCTCATACCTGAACCTCATCCACCAACCTAGAATTTGCACTTCTACCCATCTGATAACTGTCAGCCCAAACCAGCTAGAACCCTACCCATTTGCCCATCTGCCAACATACTCCCTCCTGGAACCCTACTCTCTCATCGATCTGGCACCCAATATCTCACTTGTCATGCACTCTACCATCTCATCCATTTACTGCCATATCTCCTTACACATCTATCTATCCTACTACTCCCTCTCTAACTGAAATTCTCTCAGTAGTTGTCCAAATGGCTTTGGACCTTAAACGTTAAACTGTAGGATCGTGCTCGATTATGATAATGGGGCATGGTTTAAACCCTGATCCTTTCTGATGCTTCATTTGGGGAATAATCTGGAAATGCTTTTGGGTTGGAGGTAAGTAACTTTTACTCTGATCCAAGTCAGAACTAAGAATTCTGACTCAGATTGGAAAGTTCAAACTATTGACTTCAAGGACAGTGTTCAGGTTGTTTCAACTTTCCAAAAATATCCCTATTCTGTGGGTCCTGCCAATAAAGTCTCTGCCTTGAAGTACACATGAACCTAACTAACCCCCACCCCACCACACCATCCTGACCCTCCTGTCACCCATTCTACCTCCCAACTTTCCTTACCTCAACCTGACTAGATCCCGAATCCTCAGGTTCCAGAGTTTTTGCTCCTTTGTATTAATGCTTTCCATTTATCGGCAGACTTTCTACCAAAAGAAAATGTTACCAAGTACAATTTAAGGATAGATTAGCAGGAGACCTCCTCTCTAATCCACAGCTCAGGACAATCATGCCTCCCAGAATCAGCCTGATCATCCCATCCACCTCCCATCAGCTCTACCAATGCCTCAAATGTGAGGCTCCATTAAACTACTTTCTTGTTTGTAGTTTAATTAGCAAAGATGGAAGTATTAATGGACTTAGACATTGCTTCTGGTCTGTCCGTAATCTTGCGATAATTGCTTTTTGTTAAACATGTTTACATTTTGTGCTGAAGATTGCCTGCTTTCGTATTTTATCTCTGCTTATTTATTAAATCAGTAACAATCTCTTTGTGTTCTTAATATAAATTGTAAATACAAATTTTTAAATACTTTGGTATGTATCGTTGTCAGAAGTCATTTTAAATTCATATTTCTGTGTTTGTTAGATATTCTTCAGACACTATTTGGAACATTGTGGGTTTTTTTTAATTTCAAAAATACATACCTTATTAAAAAAAAAAATCTTTGTGTATATACATAGATACAAACACAGTTTGGCTCTATGCAGTAGTATACCAAGGAAATAAACAAACATTGGAATTTGGCTCTATCCAAACAAACTGAAGGCATCAATTACTTGAATCAGAATATATTTACATTTTTTATTTCAAAAGTTCATAAAAAAATCATTGTGTATGTACATAGTCACAAATGCAGTTCAGGATCATTATATTTGGTTTATTCTTAAATTCCTGTGTTCTGTGCTGCAGTTTAAATCTGTAAAATTCTCTGTTGCGTTCCATGATGAGCCTTGCTTCAATGGTGGTGATCAGTTCAATATTCTTCTACCTTTCGCATGAAAAAATCCTTCTAACTAACCTAAATTTATTTTGCAGTTCAAATCCCCAAGAGGGACATCGTATTTCTGATCGATGGCAGCTCCAGTTTGGGACATGCCAACTTTCTAAAAATATGCAAATTTATCTCCAGTATAACTGAAAACTTTGTCATCGGACCAGATTCTGTTCAAGTTGCAGTGGCGCAGTACAGTGATGCTGCAACAACTGAATTTCACTTAAATACCCACACAACACAATCCGCTTTACAAACTGCTCTGAAAAATCTCAGGTTGAGGGGTGGTTGGACACTTAACACTGGCGCAGCTCTCGACTACATTTATCGAAGCCATTTCGCCACAGCTGCAGGAAGTAGGAAAGAAGACGGTGTTCCCCAGTTTGTGGTGCTCATTACTGGGGCAAAATCGAATGATGATGTGAAACAACCTGCAGATATTCTGAAGCGTTCTGCCATAATGGCCTTTGCCCTAGGAGACAGGAATGCAGATCTAGCAGAGCTAAATGAGATTGCAATTGATCCCAGTCTAGTTTTCAACATTGCTGAATTTGATTCTCTACCAGATATACACCAACAAGTACTGACACAGCTGTCAACATTGGCTGGTGTAACTGTAGTTTACGAGCAACCAACTGCGTCGGTTAAAAAAGGTATCCAAAATTTTAGTAGCCATTCTGATTGATTTTGAATGCAGCTGTAAGAAATAATGTATTTTCTATGCAGAAACTTATTAAGCGTTAAAGCATTCAGACTTTCGAAACTGAAACTGTGTTAGGGAAACACATTCTGTAAAAAATGATTATTTGCTTTTGCAATTTCCACATTCATTTTAATGAAGCACTCCTTGAGTAAATGAATATGAACTGTAGGTTTCCCACTGAGGTTTCTCTAGAAATACTTGGTTCAATCAAATCAATCATATACTACAGTGCATTTGAAAGATAATGGTAAATTGCAGATTGACAACCAATGTACATGTATTCTTTGATTTGACCTGTCTGTTACTGGTCATCTGGTCTTCAGAATCAAGGAATATTGGCCTTTATTGGAAAGTGCATTGAGTATAAAAGTTGGGATGTCATACCGTGGCTGTTCAGGACTTTGGTTAGGCCACTTTTGGAATATTGTGTTCAATTCTGGTCTCCCTGCTATAGAAAAGATGTTGTTAAACTTGAAAGGATTCGGAAAAGATTTACAAGAATGTTGCCAGGCTTGGAGGGTTTGAGCTGTATGGAGAGGCTGAATAGACTGGGGATATTTTCCCTGAGGCATCGGAGGCTGAGGGGTGACCATGTGGAGGTTTATAAAATCATGAGGGACATGGAGGGGTGATTAGCCAACGTCTTTTTCCCAGGGTAGGAGAGTCCAAAACTAGAGGACATAGGTTTAAGGTGAGAGGGGAAGCATATAAAAGGGACCTAACGGGTAACCTTTTCACTCAGAGGGTGGTGCATGTATGGAACGAGAGGAAGCGGTGGTGGCTGGTACAATGGCAACATTTGAAAGGCGTCTGGATGGGTACATGAATAGGAAGGGTTTTGAGGGATATGGGCCAAATGCTGACAAATGGGACTAGATTAATTTAGGATATCTGGTCGACACGAGTGAGTTAGACCAAAGAATCTGTTTCCATGCCGCGTAGCTCTATCATTCTATGACTTGTTCAGTGGGACAGAGCTTCAACTTTATATTATGTAAACCATTGTTAGAAATAGGAAATTCTCATGGATGAATTTACTGGTTTGTGATATCATTGCCGAGAACTTAAGCTGGTTTTCAAGCATATAGAATTGTGAAAAATTGGTCCTTGGACCTGAGCTGCAAATGGTGAATGCTGGTGTACGCTGCACCCAGCACTGCATCTTGCCTAACTAAAGTATTGTTACTCGTAACCTTGGGTATGTTCCTGGGGATATGGGAAGAGGAATATGGGAAGGAGGTCAATTGTGGCCAGCAGCAACTATCAGGCCCTCTACTAACATTAATCCCATGAGTTTATAAAATTTAAAGTGCTGGTACTAAAATCTATCATCTCCTTCAAGACTTCTGGCGCTGAATCTGATACTTTTATCTTTCAACACTCAACACCCAGGGTTACTTCCTCCTGGCATATTCATTGCCCCTTTGCTTTGTGAAACTAAGTGGGTCCTTCAATGGCAAAAGAAATGATTGTAAATTATCTCCTGATATGGATAAGATGGCAGGACTTCCAGTTTCTGCCATGTGTCAGTCACACCTTTTTTTAAAACATTTGTCATTCGTCATAAAAGCATGACAGTGTGACCTACCAGAATCTTTAAACATCCCCACAATTTAACTGGAACACTTTGGCAAATATCGTAAAAGTTTACATTTCTGAAACATACCTTACTGTTCCATAAATTAAAAAGACAACATGCCCAGGAAAAAGTCTGTACTTTCTCACTCACGAGGCCTATGTTAGCTGAGAGTGGGAGCCAGGCAGGTGGGGTTGAGGTGGACTGCAAATTTGCCCCCTGTCTATGAACACTGATCTCAAAAGCATGAAGTGTAGGTCTTTTTAACTCCTGTATTTTAGCTCTTTCCTCTTGATCTGTTACTCAGAAAGGGTTGAAAGCAAGTGGCTTATGGGCAGCTATGCATTATGTGCGGGTCTGGACCAAGGGGATAATATCCCGCATATCAAGCGTGCTGTGGGTTTTGTCAAGTTCCTGTATTTGGGAAGAAGGAAAGGATGTTGTGGTGGGTAACACCAAAGACTGGAAAAGATGAAACTTTCTTCTCGCATCACATGGAATATTACAAAGCAAAAACTTTGTTTCCTTGGTCTTTTGTTTTGTCCTCACTTACACTTCTTGTTAACTTTATCCGGTGGGAAAGCTGCATTATCATTGGATCCCAGTCTATACATTTAAAGGAGGATGCTGCTAGCCTCAGGCAGGCATCCTGCTTGGAATTGCAAGTTAAAATTGAAGGCTGTGGGAATTGGTGGAAAATCAAGTGAGGCTGTGAAGCAGCCAAAGTATGTCCCATTTCCAAGTTGGTGTTACAATGTTAAACATTATAACTGAGAATGTGATAACCACAAAAGGTTAGTTCTGATGCAGGGACGTTGGTAAGTTTTAATCCCCTGCTGATTTTAAGGACTTGCTTGCTTGGATTTCACTGGGTGGGTTGAGTTGAAATCAAGTGCCAAGGAAGGAGTCAGAAAAGCAACCTCAGCAGAATGCTGACCTGATGGATACAAAGTTAAGAGAAGGAGAATTTCTCATAACACCAATATACTTCAAGTCATAGTATAGATGGTCAAGTGATTTCATTGGCAATGTGTATGTAAAACAATGCATACAACAATTACCTACCTGACAATTACATTAAGAGTTCAGACTTGAAAAAGCAGCTCTGTACATTCCGAGCTGAATCCAGTTTCTTCACAAACCCAATATTAAGGGGAAATTATGCTTTTATTTTATAGAATTTGCAAGTATTTGCTATGAATGTCATATTAATTGTGCATTTCCCTTCCTAATGATAACAGAAATGGACAAGAGAGATATTGTATTCCTTATTGATGGATCATATAATACTGGAAGAAGGAATTTTGCTGACATCCGGGACTTTATTGCAACAATTATTACGGCATTTGACATTGGAAATGATCGAGTGCAAGTAGGCTTGGCACAGTACAGTGATGCTGCAAATTCGGAGTTCTTTCTAAACACTTATTCATCAAAAAATGAACTTCTCTCTCATGTAAGAGAGCTCAGGCAGAGAGGTGGCAGAACTCGCAAGACTGGAGAAGCACTGAACTATGTACTTAAATATCTTTTTACCAAATATTCAGGCAGTAGACATGAGGAAGGTGTTCCCCAGTTTCTGGTACTTATTACTTCTGGAAAATTGACTAATGGCGTGAGGCAGCCATCTGATGCCTTGTTGCAAGCCGGTGTTATAACATTAGTCATTGGAGCAGAGAATATGATAAAACAGCTACAGGAGGTTAGTTCCGACCCCAGTTTAGCTTTTGGTGTGAAAGAGTTCCGTTTTCTTCCAGAGATACAACATAAAGTACTATTACCTTTGTCAACACTGACTGGCATGAGGAAGGCTTCTGAACCACCAACAGCTCAAACCATCAAAGGTAATTCCATTCTGAGTGAGCACGCTTTGTCTAAATTATTTTATGCTGTAATGAATTTATCAGATAACCTTGGCTTTAGCAGTCTATTCTCTTCTCTGATTGCTCGAATATTGCATTTATTTATTTTTGGCTACATGCTTAAAAAGCAATATCTACTTTTTGAAAAATCTCAAGACCATGATATTAAAACATCATTTTCTCTGAAATATACAGAAAAACTCATGTAGTTTTAGGCCACACTATGAGGTTTGGCTTCAAGGCATGCTGGTTGAGAAGTCAGAACCAAAAACTGTATATAAGTTAAGACAAAATAACACTATTTATTGTGCACAAGTATTAAAGACTATTATATCTATATTCTAGGTGTGCTCATGTTCATGTGCTCTTAAGAGTCTCATTTTAGAATGCAACAGTGTATGAACTCTATCCACACTGTTCAAATTGTTCTTAGTGACGTGCAATGCTGTGTCGTCACCAAAAGGACATTCAAAGACCTTGAAGCTCTTACATACAGGAGCAAGTTACAAAATGCACCAGTGGTTGTTTAACAGCGGACACACAACAAGAGTTTTTTTTAAACTTTTATTCAGCCTTCACTGCTTTCCTGAAGGTGAAGGAGGTAATTTTGGCTTTTGTGTGATTGCATAAGAGAGAATTGTTTTACCTCTCATCTGATTTATATCTCCAATGAAAGCAGTCTAATCCATGATTTGCTATCGCCCATTTCACACGAGCATGCAAGGTCAAAACTACTCCTGCAAGGTCTTACTGAGCTTTTGTCTGTCCTGTGATATACTATTGTGAAGCCATGAGTCATCTGTGAGTCTGGATAGTCACTGCCAGAAGGCTGTATAACTGCCGAACGTATCAAAGCACAGCGAACTCCTTTTTGCCATTGGATCCTCATGTAGGTGTACATCATATTATAAGATACTCCATAGTAATCCGGAGCAGGGCTTATGATTGCTTTATCTCAGCTTTAACCTGGCATTGCTGAGGTCAGTTCTAGGGAGCCATTACTGTATTGGCTAAGGCCAACTAATTCAACACAGATCAGATCAAATTCTACACATGGATTGCTGTGGTTCAAGAAGGTGGCTCACAACCACTTTCTCAAGGTCAATTTGAGGTGTAATCCATGTCAGTCCAACAAGAAATTCCACATCCTATTAAAATATATGGTATAAAAATTATCTTGAGCCTTGAGTTTCTATATTATTCCATGTGATGCATATAATCATTGAGTTATAGAATTCCTGCAGTGTGGAAGCAGGCCATTCAGTCCATTGAGTCACACTGACCCTCCAAAAAGCATCTGACCCAGACCCCACCCACTACCCTATCCTTGTAACACTGTATTTCCCATGGCTAATCCACCTAACCTACACATCCCTGGACACTATAGGCAATTTAGCATGGCTAATTCAACTAAACTGCAGCTCTTTGGACTGTGGGAGGAAATCCCTTGCTGACACAGGGTGAATATGCAAACTGCACATGGACAGTCACCTGGAGATGGAATCAAACCTGGGCCCCTGCCGTTGTGAGGTAGCAGTGCTAACCACTGAGCCACTGTGCTGTCCAATTGGAATGGAAGTCATTGGAATGGATAAAAAATGTTTGATAGTGATAAATCGGGACAATTTCAGTGCCATTCATTTGGATTCTCCTGACATGGTAGCCTTGTTCCTATTTCAGGGATTGATAATATATGATGTCCTTCTAACCAACTGTCTTGTGATTCATAAATTTGATCCACAAATTGTTTTGAAGAAAGGATACAGATGAAGCCATTGAATTTGCTGTTTCAATTACATAATCTAGAGTGTAGTTCAGTGTAGTGCAGCGTTTTCTAACATAAATTGTTGATGACCTAAAACTTGGTACCATGTTACCAACTTAGCCACATGCACAAATTTTACTGTAAATACATCCTGGATGTATTTGCATAATAGCATTAAACATACATTGATTGTATATATATCATTTAACAAACATCTACCAGCATTCAATAATCAAGAAAGTGAAGTCCTCACAATGATCAAAATTTATTAAGTCAATCTTCTTTAAGTTTTACACATTTTGCTAACAAAACTACAAAAAAGAAGTTAAACTTGACATGCACATCTTGTGTAAATGATCATTGAAATCACACGCTCAATGACCGTGTCTGTTACTTAATTTTTATTCACTAACCAGAAATACAGTTAAGGTTGTTGACTTGCTCGCCAAGCTGGCTTGTTTTTGTTTGGACGTTTCGTCACCATGCTAGGTGACATCATCGGTGAAGCCTCCGATGAAGCGATGTTATTCTACTTCACTTGGAATTTATACAATTTGGTCTGCTATGATGAGTACTGTCATTTCAGGTTTTGATCTGTATGGGTTTCCATATGGGGTCCAATTTTATATGTTTGTTAATTGCATTACGGGTGGAGAACTATGCCTTTAGGAATTCCCGTGTGTGTCTATGTTTGGCTTGGGCCACTATGGTTACTTCGTCCCAACTGTCCCATATACAAACCCATACAGATCAAAACCGGAAATGACACTACTCACCATAACAAACTGGACAGTGTAAATTCCAAGCGGAGTATAACAACAAAGCTTCATCGGAGGCTCCAGTGATGATGTCACCTAGCATGGTGATGAAACATCTGAACAAAAACAAGTCAACTTTATTTGCTTCTCCAAAGCCACCCACCCCAAGAACAAGAATCCTTTGGGAAAGAATCACATCCCTTAAAAAAAAAGTTGTTTTGTCTACAAATGGAAGAAAAAAAGACATATCTTTGGGAGGGAGACCTGCTAACTAATGATCATTCAGTCAAAAAGAGAAGAACACAATTATCATTTTTCACAGGTTACTCCAATTCGAACACCTGCCTGTGCCTCTGTTAATGATTATTTTCCTCCTCTGTACAGATTGTGCACCAATTTACACTTTCTGCCTCAAAGGACTTTCACAGCAGTTTAATCTATGGCAGGATCATTGGTGGGAGAGAAAGCCATGTCATGGGTTGTACAGCAGCAATTGTGCACTCTTGGTATGCAGGCCTTAGAAATACGCAGTGGGTCAAGACTAGAACAGAACGGGTGAGGTTGTGTGCAGCAGCAGCAGTTTCTCAGACAATTGCAGCCAAACCTTGCCCTAGATGCTGCCTAGTTCCACTGACAATAAGAATTGAGAACAATTGAAAGACTTTGTTTATCTGTTAGCAAGGCGCATTAACTATTGAGATACGCATGTAACATCTTGACTTCAAGAGAGATGCAACTTTAATAATCAAATCACTTAATAATCAAGTTGTGCACTTGATTTACAGAAATCAAATATTTGTGTCTATTTTCTGTTTATTTGCAACAGAAGCAGACAAAAAAGATATTGTGTTCTTAATTGATGGATCTTTTCATGTTGGAGACACAAATTTGCCAGCTATTCGTGACTTCATCTCAAGAATAATCGAGACCCTTGATATTGGCAGTGATCGTGTGCGAGTAGGTTTAGTACAGTACAGTGATGTTGCAGAACCTCTGTTCCTTCTAAATACTTATTCATCAAAAGATGAAATTCTCTCTGAGATAGACAGACTCACACTGAGAGGTGGCACTGTGCTTAACACCGGAGCAGCATTGGATTATGTCCACAAGTATATTTTTACCAAATATTCAGGAAGCAGGAAACAGGAAGGTGTTCCTCAGTTCCTGATACTTGTCACTGGTGGAAGATCGAGAGATGACATCAAAAGACCAGCAGATGCCCTGCTTCGATCTGGTGTGATGACTATAGTCGTTGGAGCTGAGAATGCCATAGACCAGCAGCTACAACAAATTGCTTTGGACCACAGCTTGGTTTATACAGTGGATGAATTTCCTTCTCTTCCAAAGATCCACCAGGAAGTGCTGTTACCACTGTCAACTCTAGCTGGTGTGAAGATAATTTCTGAATTACCGACAATGAAGAGTGTCAAAGGTATCTGCGTTTTAACTCTTGCGCTCTGATGAAAAAGCTTTGCAATACTATGACTTGATAGGAACCTTTAGGTTGCCAATGTCTCCTCAGCTCCCAACGACAATATTATATCACTCACCCACCCACAAAATATGTATAATTTTGGAAAGATTATTAAGAGGGTCTTGAAAACCAAACATAGTCTCACATCATTGTCTTTCTGAAACTGCACAGAAAAGACAAATTACAAATGTCATCGATTGGGGCTTTTACACCACAGTTGTTTAGTAAACCTGTTTAATGTTCTTCTCTTTAGTATTGTAGGTGGTCAGGCCGATTGAGTGATAGTGAGTTTCTCAGTGCAATCAGTGGACTGTGGTAAGATTCTCTACTCATGGAGAAAACACATTGTGAAGATATTTTGTGCATTTTTTCACAATTCAAAGCTGTAATGATTGGGAGCAATCCAGACAGCAATAGCTCATAAAGAGCTGCTGTCTCCACTTTACTTCTTTATGGTGCAGAGTACAACAGGCTATCACCAGTCTTTATCTTCAGATCCAATGACCTGCCTCACGATCATTCCTGTGAGAGTCGGCTTTGATTGAACCCATGTTCTGCTGTTGCAGGGGCATATTAACGTGTCATTAGTAATATCTTCACATAATAACCCTTAGGCTCAAGAAGCCAGCCACAGAGTTTCTGGTGACATGAAGAAATCCAATACTTGTGGCTGCTGCAGAATGAAGGCACCGTGATAGCTGCCAGGGTGGCATGCACACAGATATAGAACACACTCACTATGGTCATAGACCAGGCTGAAATGGATAGCCACCTTACTGAAAACTCTTCCTGGAGAGTAAGACAATTAGGATCTGCTGCCAATTCCCAGAAGTTCAAAGCCACAGTGACTTACTTGGCTAGTGGTAGGGGAAGTTGAGTAAGGCTGAGGATGGAGCTTTTTCTCAATGACGGCACCATCCACCTAGACAGCTGCTGTCCTCTGTGTCACTGATTTATCAATGTTCCTTCTTCTTTGGTGGTACATGTGATACTGAGGCAATAGCCTTCATTGCATTCCTGCCCACTGTTCCTCTCCTGTGCCTTCCCCATGCCCTGGTGCTGGGGATACTAATCCTCATTGCAACTGGAGCCTATCTCCATCTAGCTTGTTCCCATCTCCAGCTGTTATCTTACTTACGATCAACTGTACTTGAGATATTTCTCAGATTTTCTTTTAATCATTCACGTGATGAAGGCGTCGCTGGCCAGGCAGCATTTATTACCCATCCCTAATTGCCCACAGGGCAGTTAAGACTCAACCACATTGCTGTGAGTCCGGACTCACATGTAATCTAGACAAGGTAAGGATGGCAGTTTCCTTCCCTAAAGGACATTAGTGAAACAGATGGGATTTTCTAATAATTGACAATGGATTCATGGCCATCATTAGATTCTTAATTCCAGATATTTTATTGAATTCAAATTCCACCATCTGCTGTGGCAGGATTTGAACCCAGGTTCTCAGAATGTTATCTGGGTCTCTGGATTAACAGTCCTGCAATAATGCCTCTAGGCCGTTGCCACCCCCTCAGATGCCCCTCTTATGGGTCTGGTATCTCTGCAGCTTCACAAGCACCAATTTCTCACACACCCACCCCACCCAAAACTCATAGGCAGCTTGATCTCACACCTTTGCTCCCACAATGGCATACATGTGTCAGTGGATAATTTTTTAAAATTCATTCATGGGATGAGGGTATCACTGGCTAAGCTAGCATATATTGCCCAGCCCTAATTTCCCAGAGGGCAGTTAAGAGAAAACCACATTGCTGTGGGTCTGGAGTCACATGTAGACCAGACTAGGTAAGGACAGCAGTTTCCTTCCCTAAAGGACATTAATAAACCATTGTCATGAATTGAAATCAGTGCCAGGTTTGTCTAGTTTGAAGCAATATTGGCTGATACTTTTGATATCATCCAAATGTTTGATAGAATGGACAGGGAAGACCTGTTTCCCTTTGCAGAGATAGTAGGAACTGCAGATGCTGGAGAATCTGAGATAACAACGTGTAGAGCTGCATGAACACAGCAGGCCAAGCAGCATCAGAGGAGCAGGAAGGCTGACGTTTCGGGCCTCGACCCTTCTTCAGAAATTTCTGAAGAAGGGCTTAGGCCCGAAACG